AGGAATAACTTACATGCAATCAGAATTGCAGAACAAAAAGAGACCAAAAAAAGCACAGAGAAAATTGTGTAAGATTTGTTGGTAGAAAATTTCTATAATATGAAAGATAAGAAGATATTCATCCAAGAAGCTCAATGAACCTCAGATAGGTTAGATTCCAAAAGAATCAACAAGACACATCATAACTAGATATGACAACGAGACAAAGAATCCTAAGAGTAGCTGGGAAAAACTGAAATGCTACCTATAAAAGGGAACCAACAAGAGTATGGTTCTGATTTCTTGGCAGACACCATGCAGGCCAGAAGGCAATGCGATGACATAAAGAAATCCCTGAAAAAAAATGCTAATAAGAGTTACATAGCCATAAAAATGTTCCCTCAGATAGAATGGCAAAATTAGGACATTTCCAGATAAGCAGAACTTAAGGGAATTTGTAAAAAGTTGACTAATCTTACAAGGAATGCTAAAGGTGTAGGGAAGCTGCTCTTTGACAAACAGCTGAAATCCGTTAAATGGAAATGAGACCGTTTCTTTAACAAATGGGGCTCCCAAAACTGGATATCCATTTACAAAAATGAGATGATCAATACCTTATGTCAAATATCAAACACTTGAAACTATATAGATCATAAAAGAAAAAATCAGGGACAAGCTTGTTGTTGTTATGTGCCACCGAGTCAGTTCCGACTCATTGCGACCCTGTACAGGCTGTATTTCCGAGCCTGTAAATCTTTATGGGAACAGAAAGCCTCATCTTTCTCCAGCGGTACAGCTGGTAGTTTTGAACTGCTGACCTTGTGGTTCGCAGCCCAATTCATAACCACTACACTATCAGAGCTCTTTAGGGGCAAACTTAAGGGCCCTAATTTATGGCATCAATAATCTATCAAATATTACCCAAAATTCACAAATAGAAGAATATACACTAGATGGCTGGAACGTCCTAAAAATTAAACACTTTTGTGGATCAAAAGACTTCTCACCAAAGGAGTAAAAATGAACCTATATGCTAGGGGTAACTTTGGCAATAACGTATCTGACAAGGGACTAATCTCTAAAATTTAAAGAAAACGTTATCACCTCAACAACAAAAAGACAAAAAAATCCAATTTAAAAAATGGGCAAAAGATATGAAAAGACATTCAGGTGGCCAACAACTACATAAAGACATGTTTGCAAACATAGGCCATGAAAGAGATGCAAATCAAAACAATTAAGACGGCATCTCACCCCAGTGGATCATAAAAACAGGAAACAAATGCTGGCGATCACGGGTGTGCAGAGACTGGAACTCTCATAACACGGCTAGGGAGACTGCAAAATGGTACAACCACTGTGGAAAATGGTTTGGTACTTCCTTAAAAAGCTAGGCATAGAAATACCATATGATCCAGCCATCCCACTACTTGGTATATAACCTAGAGACATGAGAGCTGTTACACTAACAGATGTATGCACACCCATATTCATCACAGCACTATTTACAATATCAAGACAATGGAAACAACCTAAGTGCCCATCAAAGGGCGAATGGCTGAACAAACAAACATACACACAATAGAATATTATGCAATGTTGAAGAGTAACAATGAATCCACAAAACATTACAGCGTGGATGAACCTGGACCAGGTCATAATCCTGAGTGAATTCAGTCAATTACAAAAGGGCAAATATTACTGGAGCCCACCGTTAAAAAACTCAAGAAAAAGTTTACATACAGAAAAAAATACTCTGTGATAGTTACCAGGGACGCAGGGTGGGGAGTGGAGGGAGGGCAAACCACTAACTAAGGAGTAGACATGGACTAGCTTTGGTGAAGGGATTGGCAATACACAATAAGAGGAAGGCAATACAACATGAAAGGCAAAGGGAGACACTGGGGGTGGGGGTACTCAAAGAGTAAATAAAAGGCAAAAAAGGTAAATGCTATTGCAGGTACAATCCTGCAATAGCATGCAGTGATTGATGAGCGGATGCATAGGTGTGCAAGTGTCAGATGGCATATGGGAGTGCAACCAAGAGGCTATTTCTAAATGTGTTATCTGTATGTGCTGCAAATAGATCCTTGTATAAAGTGAAGCATACAGAGGCAAAGTCATGAAAACTTCTTAGTCATAAACAAAATCCTTGGGGAATTGGGAGTTTAGAACCATAATCTCTGGGAACATGTAGGCCCATTGACATAGCATAGTCCACAAAGCCAATGCTTCACAGCTTACTCAAGTAGAGACTGAGATCTTAAAAGCCTGTGAGCGGACATCTAGGATGCAACGATTGGTCTCTCCCTTTTGAGAGTAAAGAAGAATGAAGAAAACCACAGACTCATGGGAAAATGGACCATGGAAGCCCTAGCATCCACTGCCCGGAGACCATAAGAACTAGATGGGGCCAGCTACCAGTACTGACTGCTCTGAACGGGATCACCAACAGAAAGTTCTGGACAGAGCCAGACAAAAATGTAGAAAAGAATTCAAAATCATAAAAGATCAGACTTACTGGTCTGAGACAGACTGGTAGAAGCCCCAAGACTATGGCCCTTGGACCCTTAAACCTGGAACTCGGTCCCCTGCCCACACCCCCAGAATCACCCTTCATCTAAATAAGACAGGCCTATAAAATGAACAAACACGAAACCAAAAGGGCATTTGCCCCAAAACAAAGTTCAGAAGGCAAAAGGAGCAGGAAAGGAGGACAGGATATGGGGAAGCCAGGGAAGAGCACAGTTAGATTGGAGGAAGCAGAATGTCTGTATATTGTTGAATGGGAAGTGAATGTGTTCTGTAAACTTTCACCCAAACCACAAGAATATGCACACATAAAAAAGTTACCTTTTTTTGCTTTCTTCTGCAACTTCAGTGTGTCTGAGGACTTCTTTTTTATCTCTTGGCGTGCTTTTTTATATTCTAAGAGAAAGTAGAATATTAAATAATTTGATCACTCAACAGAAAATATTTTATCACTTTCATCACAGATAGCGTTAACTGTGAAATGTGGTAAACAAATACCAGAATATAGTATGATAAGAGCTCATGAAGACATTTTACAAGAAAGGAGCTTTAAATGAAAATTAAAAATCCCAAAATGTACAACAATCTTTGTTTATCATAACTGTTTAATACCAGTCTTGAGGAGGGATATCATTTAGGAACATTCTAATAAAAATTACTCATTTGCCAATGTATTTTTTACTCTAATTTTCATTCAATTGCCAATGAAAATTGGCAAGGATCAGTTGAAGCATTGGGAAAGATTTTCAGTGTTATTTACTTTTCCAAAACCATCTTCACAGAACTTCACTTTAAAGACCCCTATATGGGGAAGATGTTGGACAGACATCACAATTAATGAAAGAGTATCGATGCTATTTCCTCAGAAGATCAGACCTAGTTCCTTCAAATACCATTAAAGTCCTCAAAAATGACCTACACCATCACAAAGATAATCTAACCTGCCCAAGGCGATATGCAAAGAGAACGGCCAGGTCTGGGCAGGTGACACAGGTCAGCTGGGTTTTCAAAATGAGCTGAAATGCCTTATGTAGGAATCGTTTGGCATCTCTGCTTTCTATTAGGATCCACTGTTAATCCTACGATTACAGCTAATGCCACTTGCAGATCATGCTGCTGAGAGATGTGTCAAAGCTGAAAACCAGCACTGAGTTTTGCAGTGGGATCGCCTCTGACTGTTTTTGTGTTTCCACACTGAAAGGCCTACAAGGGATTCAAGGCAGAGCAAACCCTTAGCTATTTGGGGTGATTCATTTCAATAAACCCAGCAGCAGCCACACAGTCCCCAGCTTGTCCCAGAGCTCTACCCTGAGTTAGACGTCTGCCCTGTACCTTTTGCATGGTCTTTATCCAGCTGGTTTGCCACTTTCTTCCATTCTTCCATCTGTTCTTGAAGTGGGTTGATCAGACAATCAATTAAAGCGCTTTTACCAAAAGAAGAAAGAAAGGGAGACATGAGAACTCATAGACACATTTTGTTGTCAGATTTCCACTTGGATGTCAAAACACACTGAAATCACAATGAACTGAAGTGAGAAAAGGTAGAATCAGCTTCCATCTAAACTTGTATTCGATGAAACCTGTACCTAAATCCCCCAGCTTCTAGCTTCGAGAACAACCTTGTCCTCAGATGATTACCAAGGACAATTAGGAAACTGTAAGAGGGACTGGTTTCCTGGCTAACTTTCTGGTACTTATATTAACAAGCATAGTCATAGATAAGTACATGACCATAAGGTCAGTTTGAACCTCAAGGTTGGTGGTTCAAGCACACCAGCCGCTACTTGAAAACCCTATATAGTCGCTACGAGTCAGAAACGACTCAACAGCACTTAACAGCAGCACAGAGCTTTACAAAGGTGAAAGATGCCTGGGTCACACCCCTTACCTACCAGAAACCTTGAGGGTGGGCCCCTAATGTGACAATATTTTTAGAAGTTCCTTCCACCCCAACAAAAAAGACCCACAGGATTCTGATATGCATCTGGCCTGGTCATGGCAAAATGAAATTGAACAGACCTGAATTTGAAAAAATTGGGTGAAGCAGACTTGGAATTAGAAAAATTATGTGTTGAAATCCTGGAATGGGAGACTCAGAAGAGGTGTCATGAGCTCTCTGGAACCTGATGCGAGAGATTCGATTCATGTCTGGCTGCAGAGTGACCTATTGGAAGCAAAGCAGGGGCCGCCATCTTTGAGGAGGGGACTACTGCTTCCAGCTCAGTCAACAGATTTGGTGGTTACACATAGCAAATAATGTGCTTGTTTTCTAAGAGGGAATTTACATTTCTAACAAGGTCTGGAGCTGTAATTTCCTACTTTCCAGTTACTGTTCTGATTTACCCACATTTTACAAATTCGGATCCTTCCTTGGCCATGAGTGAACCAGAAGAACAGGATCGAAGCCCTAATTTTAAGTCATGAACACACACTAACCGTGGACAGTTTGGGAAAGAGAATTAGGAAGCATGTCTTAAGCTTGAGCTTCTGACTCTTGTTGTTGTTGTTGTTAAGTGCCATCGAGTCAGTTCCGACCCATAGCGACCCTGTACAGGGTTTCCGAGGGTGTAAATCTTTACGGGAGTAGAAAGCCTCATCTTTCTCCCGCAGAGTGGCTGGTAGTTTCGAACTGCTGACCTTGCGGTTCACAGCCCAAGTCGTAACCACTACGCTACCAGAGCTCCTTACCTCAAATAAATAGTGTAGAAAAAAAGTAGAAAATATCCATAAATGGTCCTCAATTGATTAGCAAGAAATACTGTCCTCAGGTTTTCTCTCTTTTTTTTTTTAATTGTGAATTATGTGATTGTTTCCATGGGAGAACATTAACTTTACATTCATCCTATCTTATTTCGTTTCATTGCAATGATTACAATTCCATGCATGCTAAAAAAGAGAGAGAAAAATGTTTTTTTAATTGTGAATTATGTGATTGTTTCCATGGGAGAACATTAACTTTACATTCATCCTATCTTATTTCGTTTCATTGCAATGATTACAATTCCCTGCATGCTCAGCAAACCACTAAGGGTACAGCCGCAAGCCTGCCCCCCAGCCATCAGCACACAGCCCCTCTCCCTCCCAAAGTCCAGAGTCCTTAGCGTCTCCATTTCTCTTTGTCATTGTCTCTGCCTCCATCTCTAGTGTCCCTGCTTTTCTGGATAAGATCCCACACTCCGTTCTTCTCCCTTGATGGTACCAGAGACCTCTGCTCCCAGACTACCAAATCAACCACTCTCCTCCTTTTGTTACAAAACGTCTACCTTTACATTTCCAACACTCACAGTCAGTCCTGATAGCAATCATTCACAATTGAACCACAAGTCTTATCCCCATCTCCTTTCAACAGCCCCATCCAACAGGTTGGAAACCACTCAGTGGAGACTCTACCTTCCCCGGCACCCTCTGGAATTAGGTTCCCTCTTGATAGCTTGTTAGCCAGTCACCCAGTCACTTCTTGCCTTTGTAGCCCTCCCCCCACAATTTTGGGCAGCCAATATCTAAGTTGCCCACCCCTGTCAACCCTGTGTACAGAGGGGGTGGGAGTGATCCTCACTGTAAAAAGATTTGTTCCCTTTTTTGAGCTACTACATCCATAAGCATAGGTCAAGTTCATCAAATTGTAGCGGATTACTCTTTTTTTCCTCTGATTTCTTCCTCTAGTCCAGTTCTGGTTAAATGGGTGTTCTTGCACATCTCCCCTCACTTCATATTGGCTGGACGCTTCACTCTCCACTCTAGTCCTCAGTGGCCATGTCACTGCCTCTGGGCCCAGGAGTTCCAGATCTCGCCATACTGCTGGCCAACCAGGTCTCAATCCAGGTTGACAGGCATCTGTTGAATGTGGTTGGACTTAGCTCACAATTTTATTGCTGTTTTTCTCCCACTTCCCTTTATCAGTGACCAAAGTGGTCAGCAGCAAGACCACATGCCTGCTCCTGTATTTCCCCGCTTGAATCTTAGTCTTGGAAGGGGGTTTGCCCTGAGGGGACCTGACAACTTGCCTTGATGGCTCCGGGGTGAGCAACTTGCTTGTTCTTGTAGTAGTCAATCAGGCTGCCATTAATTAGTGTTTTTGATTTTTCTTGCTGGTCTTTCTTTTAAGAAGTATCATCTGTTCTTCTAGTCACTCCAGGTTGGTCTGCTTGTCCTTTCCAGTGGAAATTTCCCACCTCAGAAGGTTCTGGATGAAGATCAGGATTCCACCTTGGTCTTATGTAATGCAAAGGCTCCACAGGAAGCCTCCTTCACTGGACAAGTTCTAGCCTCCTTTTAGGTATTCCAATCAGTTATAGGCTGAATACGGACTTAAAAGCTTTCTATGGTGATATTTCTGGTTATTCCTTTCTCTCCGCCCCCTCAAGTGTCTATTTTACAATAGTAGGTAAGGGAAATCAAGATTCAAAAGACCACAAAGCATCTTAACATTATTTCCCCTCTTTTACCCATTGAAACCATGCCTCAATCCCTGTATCCCAGAGCCCTGTTGTTCCAATGTTGTGCATACATCATTATTTACCTGTCCCACTTAGCCCATGCAAACCTGCCTAACTGTTCTCCCATCCACCTTGTTCTTCCATTCTCCTCCCACTTTTAGTGTATTGCCCAACCCCCCAGCACCCAAACTTCCTGTGTCTATTCCCTACCCCGTGCTTCACCTTCCCCTCCCTCCCCCTCCCCCTCCACCATACACCCTGGCAAAGAATTTTGTGGGTTTTTTCCCCCTTTAGTGTGGCTACTTTTTCTTAGGAGCTCTGGTAGCGTAGTGGTTACGAATCGGGCTGCGAACCTTAAGGTCAGCGGTTTGAAACTACCAGCCGCTCCGCGGGA